AGGGCAGGGAGTGCAGGAGGGGTGCGGGATGCGGCAGGGGGCTCAGGGCAGGGAGTTGGGGTGCAGGAGGGGTGCGGGATGTGGCAGGGGGCTCAGGGCAGGGAGTTGAGGGTGCGGGATGTGGCAGGGGGCTCAGGGCAGGGAGCTGGGGTGTGGGATGTGGCAGGGAGCTGGGGTGCAGGCGGGGTGTGGGATGTGGCGGGGCTCAGGGAAGGGAGTTGGGGGTGCAGGAGGGATTCAGGGTGTGAGCGCCAGCCTGGTGCCGCTTACCTAGAGCGGCTCCGGGGTGGCAGTGGAGCTCACTGGGGCCAGGGCAGGCTCCCTGCCTGCCTTGTCCCCGGCTCCATGCTGCTCCATTCCAGGAAGCAGCTGGAACCGTGTCCCTGCAACCCCTGGGGGAGGAGGAGGAGGAGGGGCTCAGGCTTCCCTGCTTGTGCGGCTCTTGCACTCTTCTAGGTACCTCCCACGAAGCTCCCATTGGCCGCGGTTCCCTGTTTCCAGCCAATGGGAGCTGTGGAGGGCAGTGCCTGGCAGGAGGCAATGCCGGAGCCCTCTGCCTCCTTCTCCCTACCCCCGGCACGAAGTAGTTGCAGAAGCACTGAGCAACACGGCCAGCACATCCCTTGCCCACGCCGCTTCCCACAGCCCCCATTGGCCTGGGATGGCGAACCATGGCCAGTGGGAGCCGCGATCGGCCGAACCGGTCAACGCGGCAGGTAAACAAACTGGCCCGGCCCGCCAAGGTGCTTACCCTGGCAAGCCGCGTGCCAGAGGTTGCCGACCCCTGTTCTATATCATTGCCTAGAGATACAGGAGAAGGTAATGTGATATTTAGCTGCAAATATACGTTTTCTAATCCAAAGCATCGTCTTATCATTCTTTAGGCAATGCTGCTTGTGCCAAAGTCAACTTAATTTTTCTTTGAGGGTACAGTAGCGAGGTAACCAAAGCTCCTGTTTTACAGTTATTTTAAGAATTCAGTCTTCTACAAAAAATTTCCATATATTACACATACAGGTTTCCTAGAGCTTATACTAGAAGTGCTGCAGGGTTCTACAGCCCGCTTTTACTTAGGTTAGACAAGCTCTATGGACAGCCACCAGCTTATTACTTAATCATATCTGTTCCAGTAAAGTTATTTCAGGAGTCAGTCTGAAACTTCTTCTCTGCTTTGGAAAGTTGTTTTTTGAATTTGATGAAGTAAGGTGGTGGCAGCAGATTTTAAACAAGTTTTTTTGCTCATTTGTGTCAGACATCTGGCACAGTTTTTTCATCCTCCCAAAAAACTGTAATGAAAGATACTTTATTAATGAAAACCATTATTTAGAAAGAATTGATGGTTTTCCCATAAGTCTGAATTCAGAAGTCTGGTTACTCTGCAAAAGTCTGCCATGTAACCCAGGAAACCTTTATTTCCCTATACCTGAAAAACAAAACCTTTGCTGCTACTGCTACAGGCAATCCTCTCTGTACCCACTTCTCAGTAAGCATGTTCTAATATCCTATTTTTAAGTAGTTGGGAACAAAAAATGTTTTTCCACCTATAATTTTGGATCTTGTACTTTACTAGTACTTCCTGCTTTGGCTTGTATTGAAACCAGTTCACTCCTCTTAGAGATGTTCCAAGCTGTCTGACTGAATCTGCAGACATCACTGCATTGGTTACATTTGGGTGACATTTTCAATCTTTTATTTTCAAAGATGAGGGCCAGAGAGTGTACTTTTCTTAAAAAAAAGATGAGTGATGCAATCACAGGATCCTGCGAATCAGAGTCCTAGCCATGGGCAGATAGTCCCTATGCCTCAATCTGGCCCCAGACAGAGGCTCCTTGAGACCTGTTGTGAAGTATTCTAAGGTCTTAGAATACAGAGACACTAGCAAGGTCATAAGAGATTTAAGGTAAAATTTGCTCTGCATAGACTGTTACCGCACATCTAGGAAAGCATGTACTGATCTGGAAAATAACTAAAAGGACCACTAACATCTAAAGTATGGATTCTCCTGCTAATGAATGTGGCTTAGGGAAAAATACTGGTTGACAGACTAGTTCAGATGTTGCTCAGTGACCACAAGGGAATTTAGGGAGTAGGTAGAAAGCTACCTTATGCTAGATTAATATTATTATGCTGAAGTTAGTCTTAAAGCCTATGTTTTTCCCCCTTAGTGACAGGAGAATCTATCCCTTTTTAAAGTTTTGTGCTCCAAAACCTAAGGCTTCACTTAAAAAGTAGCTAAATTTGTAGCCATTGGCTGTGAAGATACTCTTCCAAACACGAACCAAATGTAAATTGGCACAGTGTTTTCTTTTTGAGATTAATACAAATGAGCTCCAAGACAGGTGCAAATTACCATTTGTCAGCAAAGAGAGAAAGCTTTATCTGCCAGAAGCTTCAACTGCCTCCTAGATGCATAAAACTCGAGCCATTTCTCTACCTTTTCCTAGCTAACAAAATCATCCATTTTAATTCCTATTTCCCAACCTCCACCTAGTCCAGACAAGACAAAAAAAATGCATGTATTAAAAATCTATACAGATGCTGCCATTACTCCAAACTATATTTAGGTTTCCAGGCTTAGTACAACATTTAATGACTTGGAGAATGCACAGTGAAGAAAAACTTGAGATTTGCCAGAGATAACACAGACCTGCTTTTTACACAGGGGTGTATTCTAATACTGACTGAGAAGCATATACAAGTCTCTCGCCCACAAACTTGAAAATGACTGGATAATTTTAAAATGTTGTAAAACAAAGTTTATAGCATAGATTTTAGAGCTTAACTGAAGTTGTCTGTACACAAGCAACATCACACCCATGTTCATGAGGTGTTAACATTTGCTGATTTGTATTCCCAACATTAAGTAGTTTTGTCTTATATAAAAAAAAAGTTATAAAAAAGTGTCAGCCATTTGTTCAGCTTCAATGACTAACTTATATCTTGTTTATAAAGTTAACGTCAGAGTTAATTTTCTGTTGACACAAAACATGCAAAGTACAATGTTATCAACTCTTGTGATTTTATTAAAAGTTTTACAATATTTGGTATTTTTCTTAAAACCCCAACTCCATGTGCTTACAGGAGAATCTCTGTTTTCACTAAAAAATGAAGTTACCAGACTTTCTTGGCTATGGAGAAAAGCTTGAAAATGTGACCCAAGGCACCCTAATGGCTCAGAAACCTAACGGGAAATAAAAAACCCCAACTAAAAGAAAAAAAATCTCATTATTTTTAATCCAGTCATGATTTTTGAACATTTGAGGCTGGCAACTTTCATTCTAGGGTAGATCCTACATGAAATAAAGAAAATATTATAATGGTTGAAAATCAAATTACTTGAAACATTGTGTCAAAGTATTATGTTTGTAAAATAAACAAAATTAAAAAATGGAATACCTCAGTCTGACCTTCATGGGCACTGGATTCATGAGTAACACGAATAGCCTGAAATTAGAACATATGTTTAATTAGACTTCAAACAAAAAAAAATAATTTCTTAAAATAGCAGGTATTTAAAGACTCATTCCACTTTCTTCATTTTAACTTGTAGGTTATGGAAGTTTACATCAAAGCAGAGTAAAGTTGTGCTATATACTATAGTGTACGATTTTTTAGTGTTGTAACTATTAGAAGTATTGATTAGACATTAACTAACCTCAAGATCTCAATTTTTTTTTAAAGTATTTTAAAAAAGTGTTAAGAGTTTTTTAAAACTGTAATTCTGTTTCATGCAAAGTGAAAATCAAATAACAGTTGTTAAAAAAGTCGTCCATGTGTTAGTGAGATTACTAATTCCCCACTAGTAGCGAACAACATTTACAATAAAGCATTCATGTCTCAATCTAGCAAAGCACTTCAGCACACGCTTAACTTTAAACACGTAAGCAGCCCCATTTACAACAATGGGACTATTTAAGCACATCAGTGTTTGCTGGATCAGGGCTTAGATGCAAGACTATTCCTGCTAACAATTCTACTATATTAAAAAGAGGGGAAAAAAACAAAATAAAAAAGATACTCACTTCATAGGTTTCTAAATATTTGGCTCTCTCTTCAGGACTCATAGGTAACGAATCCTCCAGGAATTTTTTCAGTGTAGAATCTGATTCTTAAAAATAAATAAATAATAAATTAATAAATCATTCAATTCCTCTTTCTGTTCTCAGCAACTTAGAAAATTAGATGAAAACTGAAAGGTTACAACATGAAGAAATAATACAAATCAGAATTGTTCCTTTTTATTTTTTCCTAGACAAATATTAAACATTACATTGTCAAAAAGCTTGTACACAAGGCATACAGTCTATTTACATCCAGAAAGGAGACTTAAGCCTGTAATGCAACATATTCTATTCCACTGCATACAACGACAAAACAATTTAAAGTCACCAGACTCTTATTATGGTGTGAAATATTAATATGGTATCTGCTACTTTGAATTTGGAGTTATATTTTATTCATTTAACTATGTGCTGTATTAGTGTCCTTTGTATTACTAAAAATTCTTAATGACTACTAATTAACAAAAGTCTGTGTTGTATTGCTGCTGTATAATTAAGACAAGAAGACTAATGGTGAATTTCTACTTGTGTCTTAAAGAATTTTCAGTTAGAGTCAACGCTATGAAAGGAGTACTGCGCCACCTACCCTCTAAAAATTATATTAAGTATATTAAGAGAAAAGATTTACCGAAGTTCATTTTATCTCTATTGTTTGCAATAGCATGAATAAGTCCAATTGTTCCACAAGCATTGTTGATGGTTTGCTTCATGAAATATACTGATGATCTGACATTTTGTCCCTGGGCTTTTATTCTCTCTTCCTCTTCTGTTCTGAATGTTTCATACTGGAACAGAAAATCAAAAGCGTCTTGCATGTAGAACTATTTCAAATTTCCCATGAAAAATCAAAGCTCCATTAAAATGTAATAGTACTGTAGTTTGAAACAGAAGGAAGCAGAACAGAATAAGTAAGGGATTGCAGCCTTTATCCACATGACTAGTCTCACTGATGTACCTGAGATTATTCACTTGTATAAATCTGCGAGTCAAGTCCTAAATCAGTATCTTGTCACCAGCCAAACATCAGTGTCTTTTATCCAATATTCTGAATCACTTAACTTGTTGTGCCATCTAGTGCTATGCTAAGAATGTTCAAAAACGAAGACTGATGAGCTAGGCTCACTTTTAGAGAAACAGTCCCCTTTACCACAGTCTCCTATGTCTCCCTGCAATCCAGAAGGTAACGGAAGCTTTAGATCTATGGCAAGCAAACTGGAGTACAATAAATAACTACGCTAAAAGGGAAAGAAATGAAGCATTGTAGAAGCTTCAATACAGCCTTATTTTTTCTGGAAAAATTTGAGTCATTTATATGTTTTTGAGTGGTACTGATAACTTTGCAAATGGGCCTTCTGAGGCCATAATAATAATACGACAATTTTATTTATTCTGTTCAGTTTATTCCATGACACACAATTTGGCTGTGTAATCTGAAAATTATTAAATTTATACATGTATTCATGTTTTAACAGGGTCTACTGGTGAGGGAAGCATCCTGGGGTGCACAAGAGGATTCCAGAGTTTGTCAACTACTGTAGAGACCTTTGGGATAAAGAAGGTAGCCAATAAGGAGTGAAGAAATGGTTTTAGGAAGGAAGTATATTCAGATCATTGCTTCTGCTGTTTAGAGTATGATGATGGAGCTCCTGGGTGGATTCCCCTTTGCAGGGAACCACTGGAAGTCTTAGTTCAAGGTCTGCTGGCGTTTGTAGGTCGCTCTACCAAAGCTGTCTGGGAAAGGATATAAGCAGCTTCCTTCCATTCAGACGGAAAGACACTGTTGAGGGAATTGGAGCTGCTGAGAGCCCCTCAGAGTCAATGAAGCAAACTCTGGGTCTCAGTACAAGTTTCCGGATTTCTGCTGAAGAGAAGCTACCCTTAGGAGCAAAAGCTTGTTTTGCTTTGAAAATACTCTACAACTATGGAACTGGGAGGTTTTTTTGCTGATGTTCAGCCCAGTATACACATATTACTGTATGGTTTCATTTCTTGGTGTGATCTACTCTGCTGTGGAGAAGTTTACCAATAAATAAGTATACAAGAAATACACTGTGCTTTTACAAAAACTGGTAAGACAAATAAACCAGAAACAGCTGCTTGCAAGTAGAACACAGTAGACAGGTTTTCAGATAGACAATCCGGACTACAAGAATGAAGGTGCGCCCTGATTTTAAGTCTTTCCACCTTTTCAATATGCTGCCCTGATGACTGATTTTTTATCAGTCAGCACAGCAAACCTGAAAGCACTAGACAGCTGGTTTTGTCAATTATAGAACATTCCATTCTCTTATCTACTGCTGGAATGTTGTTCACTCTGGAAATACTATGCTTCCCTCCTTTAACTCCTTGATTAATCACAGAAATAAAAAGGGTTATAATAAATAATACACCTCTACCTCGATATAACTCTGTCCTCGAGAGCCAAAAAATCTTACCGCGTTATAGGTGAAACCGCGTTATATTGAACTTGCTTTGATCCACCGGAGTGCGCATCCCCGCCTCCGTAGAGCACTGCTTTACAGCGTTATATCCGAATTCATGTTATATTGGGTAGCGTTATATCGAGGTAGCGGTGTAGTTATAAATCTCTTACCAATAGCCATATCTGCATTATACATGTGCCTAAAATGCTCTATTGTGCACTTTTTTACAGCAATGCTGCTGCAAAAAAATCCATTACATTTCTTTAAGCAGAACACTACAAAAATACATTTATGGGATTACAAAATTACTTGTTGGTACTAGCAATACTGCTATTAAGGCATATTCAATTTCTGGGCATTATTACTCACTGAATTGGCCAGCAGAGGTTAGGAGTAATACACATTGCAGCCAGGTTGGCCTTCAAGAAGGAAAGAATGCCTGCTCTGCTGTAAGCATTCCAGACTACCCGGGCAAGCTATGCAGCACTAATTGTGAGGCACATTAACAGTTCTAAAAAGAGGCTTATTCAGTCCCCCTCTGTCAAAGAACTAGTACTGATGTAAGGGCTGGAGATTGAGAGATGTGGAAGTATCAGAAAATAAGGAAAGGATCTGACAACAAGAAGCACCCATTTGCAAAAGTAGAATGGCTCAAAAAGGAGTCACACTAATATATACCACAATGCACACTGACTGAATGCAGCTCTGTATTCATACCCTATACACTATTGTAATAATTTTTGTACAAAATATGCTTTGTAAGGTATCATTTGAAAACTAACAACTCGCTGGACAATTATATCATGGTGAAATATATGTAGCAACATTATATGTAGAGTTATGAACATAAGCTGAAATTATGATTCAAGGTGTTTAACCAGGCAAATCTGGGGAGTGGGTAAACCAGTTTCTCAAAGACAAAGGACAAACTGACGACTCTAGCCAGGGGTCAAAGCTGACTGGCGATCACTAGTCAAGTAGCCATTCTTTGGCAGTGAAGAGGGGTAGGAACAGATCGATTTGCATTTTAACAAACAAGATCTTTCACTATGAGACCTCATGTCTGCATCCTCACAGCTGGACGGAACGTGTATTTAAGAGTAACCCTCAGGAAAAGGCATTTCAAGGGTGACTGGATTATAAAATGGAGAGGCAAAAACACCCCGGGTGTTCATTCTCTATCCTCCTTTCTCACCCTTTCGCTGAAGACGACAAAAAAACCCAGACCTTTGGGAAGGGTTCTGACTTGATAATTTGATCAGCCCTGTTACTGGGATCATGTGGTAAGGATTTCTCCTTGAACCAAGTCTAGTTTATTAAGTTTTAGTTACTAGACAGTGTTCTATTTTTTTCTCTTGTAGCCATTTCTTACTTTAATGCCTTATATTTGTACTTGCTTAAAATCTCTTTGTAGTTAAATAAAACTTGTCTTTTCTTTTATAAAAACTAATCTAGTGTTGTATTCAAACTGAGTTGTCTGGGTAACTCCATTTCAAGTAGCAAACTGTTCAATATTATTTTAGGTCTGTTGCCCCTGTAAGGGAACATAGGAACTGTGCAGGAAAGGGCTGGACAGTGCAGAACACATGTTTGGGGGGGAAATTTAGGACTGGGAGTGTGTTGGTGTTACCCTGCAAGTGGTAACCAAGGCTGGTGGAAGCCAGTGCATGACTGGAGTGTGCTGGAAGGCTACAGTTATACACAGTGTGCATCAGGCCCTCTGAGGCCCCCTGCTGTACGCCTAGTGGTCCTACCATACCCTGCCCCAGGGTCCTCCAGGCCTGCCTAGAAAAGCTGCAGGAAAGCAGCCAATCAGAGCCCAGCAGGCTCAGATAAAAGACTGCAGGGCCTGAGTAGGTCAGTTCCCAGGTGGGACCTGAAGGAAGAAAGGGTGCTTTGCTCTGGCCACAGAAGCTTGCAAGATAACCAGAAGCTGCATTTTGCTTTTTGAAAGGAGAGAGTGGACCTGAGAACAGTAATCCTAAGAGGGAAGAGACCCAGTGGGAAGAAGCCCAGGGAAAACAGCAGTCAGAGTTAAAGGGAGCAGTGTGCAACTGCTGCTCATAGGGTCCCTGGGTTGTTGATTGTGAGACTTAGTCAGAGGGCTGAGCCACTGAACCAACCTACAGGATACCAAGATAATTGCAGCTCCACAACCAGCCAACAGGAAGCATTCGGAAAAGGTGAGTGCCCCATCACACACAGACACTCAAGGTATGACCTGCATGCTGTTTGTGAGGGGCCCAGGTTGGTAGTTACAGCAGCAAAGCATTCTAAGGCACCCAAGGTTGCAGGGCAGGTGATGAGGCAACACCTCACTGGTCTGGACTGGACCCCAGAATGTCATACACATATCTAAGCAGTATTTTTCCTGAAAACCTGAACAAATTAAGATTAAATTATAGTAGAGTGAAAAAAGTGACAAACACAAGCCATAAAAGAGATCTTTCTAGGACTCATGTCCTTTGCACACTTATGGGTACAGTACTCAAACTAGCCACAAGTAGTCCATTGATATGACACCATAACAGCATTTTAGTAATGGATTACCCCATTCCCCAGGATAAGAGAGTTAAGACATTGGACAAAAGTTCAGTTTAGGGAGCTTATTGTTCTTTTCCCCAACCCAAATAAACCCAGTGGAAAAACCAACAGCCCCACCCCAGAGCCCACACCCCCTCCTGCACCCCAACCCCAATTTCGTGAGCATTCATGACCCTCCATACAATTTCTATTCCCCGATGTGGCCCTTGGGCCAAAAAGTTGGCCCACCCCTGCTTTAACCCCTCTTGACAAAAAAATACAAATCAAAAACAAAGATGATCCCCAATTCTGCCTCAGTAACAAACATCCCCAGTCTGTCCAAGAAATGAAAGCTATGTTGGAGCTACAGGCTTCTCTAGACAGTAATTAAAGCTCGGACTGCATTATGATACTACAAAATCAATATATGTTTTATAAATGGCTGTTTGATATTGTCCACATTTTCCATATCCCGTCTTACCACTTTGTTCATGCATTAATGTGGTATAAATATTAAAAGAACAAAAATAAATATTGCAGTTCCATTAAGAGAAGATCTCAAAATCCTTTAAAATATCATTCACATCTATCGCTGACTGAGAGCAACATCAGATTTCCTTTGTTTATACATTTATTGTTAATACTTCTGCAATTGTAGTTTTGTTTAATAATCTTATTTTGACAAGAACAGAATGTATCACAAACCAGAGGAACTTTGAAGAAAGCTTGTTGGTTTTTTTTAGTCTCATTACCTATTTCACTGACGTAGAGAATTACAGATTTCATATTATGTATGATGGGACATTTTGACTGATCTACTGATTTTGAATGACTAAGTATCATTAGTAAATATTTACCTTTTCTGTTACTGGGAAGAGAAGTAGCACCGCACAAACAGGTCTTGGCACCATGCTAAGTAGTTCTGGATCCATACCATACACATCTACAAATTGCCAGTCAGGATGTATACCTAACTGTTTGAGAAACTAGTAAAGAAAAGAAAAATGCACAGTATTAAACAGATTTGTTAATAAATAATTCATCTGCTAGAAGCACGTTTGATCACCTGTGAAGTTAAATACACTTTAATAGACTTTGGGAAGATCAAGATAGTCGAGAGGTAAACAGGAGGATGAAGTGAGGTTAAATTGTAATGACTGACTGACAAACTGAAAAAGTATAATGCTTTGCTAATCAAGATATACTGAAGAGCCATTGTTATAGCATAAACAGTTTTCACTATATTTAAACAGCCATATGGAGCGGGGAAAAGTGGATGTTCAAGTCAACAATTTTTCAAGTTGTATTTTAGTCACTGAGACAAGGAAGATCCCAGAGGAGCACATGGATCTGTAATAGATGAAAGTTGAGTGCATGGATTTAAGAAACCCCGTCCCCGCCCATGCATTTTGCAAAGTATACCATATTGAGTGTTAATAGGCACGTAACTCATTTACAGTCACTTGATTTGAGCAATCTGACCCCTAAGAGGACCTTCTTCACTAAAGAGATTAATGTTTGAGCATTTTACAGAGTACACTTTAAAGGTGTTCTTTTGCAAGAAGGATGATATATAATAAAAATAACCCTATGACACCCAGCATAAAGTACCCATTTTACCTAGACAGAGATTAATGAAAGCCAGGCCATAACAATGCAATTTATATAGTTCTCAGTTTGTTTCTTCAGAACTATTCACTAGATTCTAGATCAGTGGTACTCAACCTTTCCCATACCATGACCACACATTACAACAGAAAAAATGCTTTTGGATCATGAACCACCGCTCGCCTAGCCATTAAAAAAAAGGAAGCTGAACCTGCCTCTAACAGGGGTTCTTGTCTTTCCAGTTGAGAATCCTACATCATTCCCCTTCACTAACGGGAAGGGGGAGACAAAATTAAAAACATCTCTTTGCCCTCTCCTCCCTAGCATGGTGCCCCCACTGGGTACATACATATTTATGCAAATTTATTTAGATTAATTAAAAGGTATGTACACTTATGTAGATTTATTCAAATCTGACCTACTTTTTTTGCTCAAGGATGTTGGCTGGGATGTTTACAATGAAAAGTACCCCCCCCCCGCAAAAAAGTATGAGTATTTTTATTACTGTAGTCATTCCTTGATTATTTGAAATAAAGTAGAAAACTCATTTAAATACTGATTAAAATTAGTCTTGCATTGGATGAGAGGCATGGTGGGTGTCTTTCATCAAAGGAAGCCCAGGGTACCCATTACCAATGTTTGAAGATATAAAAGAAGATTGTTATCCCTTGGAGAAACAGAATGCACAAGACTAAACGTATTTGTAAGGATGTATGGGAGGAAGGAAGGAAAAGCAATGAAATACTTCCAACCATTTTTAGTTTATTACATTTTCTTTTAACAGCTGTCATTTACACCCACTGATTTGGGAAGTTTAGACATGTAGCCATTTTAAACATTTTATTCCCAATATTCTCCTCACTTGCCATCTCACAGAGCAGAACTATTAGCCAAAACTCTCATTATAAGTTAAGTGGAGATCAGATTCAGAGTTAAAAAGGAAGTATACAAGAATCTAGACATAGTGGATTGATTAAAGTAAAAATGATTTAAATAATTGATTTTAATCATGATTTAAATCAATAATCAGGAAACCTTTGTTTAAATCATCAATTTTAGTCTTACTTTGCATTTGGATGTTTTAGTTATGCTCCTAGAGAAAGGGTGATTCTCATTGGTTGGTAACCTTTAAAACATTATCTTAGACTACTTGATTTGCAATTACTTCTAGCCTCTACTCTGAATTTGGTATTTTTTTTTAAACCAGGAGATTAGTGTGTATTTATACATGTTTAAAGCAATTATATCGCTTATACACATTTAAGATTCTTAATTCTTACATTTTAATTCTGTTAGAAAGTGATGCATGATGTATTTTTATTTACTAGATTAATAATCTGTGTCAATCTTTATTTGGATGAAATTGGACTTCAATAGGCAAAAACAGAATTTAAAAATATAATTAAACTACCTTAAATGTGCTGGATACATAAGAATGGTAAATGTCTTACATTATAATTTCCTTTCTGCTACACATGGGCGATTCCCCTCCTGCCTGTAGTTTCTGGAGACAGTTCAAAGCTGTAGCACACCCTGTGCTACCCACACACTCTTCTCCAGCCTGCTGCCACATGATTCATTCCAAAGTTGTGTACAAACTCATACAATATAATTAGTAACAACAGCTTCAATGCCAACCCATAAATTATGTACAATAGACTATGGCCTACAAGCATAACTACCAAAATTAAATACTATCCCTTGGCTAGGAAGACATCCAGGGGGAGCAGAATTATGGGAGACACTGCTAGCAGAGAGGAAATGATTAGGTAAGAAACTACTCCAATAGTCCAATTTTTTTAAAAGCTGTTTTAAAGAATTCAGAGGTACCAAAACATTTAAATAGTGCTTGAAAACTATGCTTCAGGACCTCATGAAAATGTACACAAAGAATAGCCTAATTAGAACTGAAAGTACATTTAAAATGGCAATGGAGGATCAATGAGAAAACTGCAAGCTTTTCACTTGCATCAACAAATGGAAAGGTTTTCACAATACTCATACTTCCAGTTGTGTCAGTTTCATCACTGAGTAAAAGCAGCATCACTCTTTAAAGAGATACCAACTCCCTGCCTCTTCGCAATTGGAGAGCTACTTCTGGAATATACGTCCAGCAAGATTCACAATTAATACTCAATATGCTGATGTACAGCTACACTGGACCAGATCCTGGCCCTCATTCTGCCTGTTTTATGGCACTGCACCAAGCAAATGGAAAAGTGACCTAACCTGCAGACTCTCAGTGTGGGGGGAAATCACTAGCAAGCACAGAGCCAGCAGAATGGCTCCTTCTCTCTCCCCTTTCCCAGCACAGGAGTTGGGGCTAGGGAGGTTCTATGTCCAGCTAATCCCTGGCAGTTGTAACAACACTTTGAGGCTGTTACAAATGGGCATAATTTGCAGCTGCCCTGAGGCTGCTCTATATTGAGTCTTGGAACTGGCATGACGACTCCAGGATTGAAGATTAGAGCATAAAGTCACATATTCCTCACCACCATCCTTCTGTCAAGCACAGAAGGGCTGTCTCAATAATCTAGACCATCATGTATAATGGACCTGGTTCTGTTCAGCCTACCTTTCCAAATAAGCTGTCAATGGGCTGTGTGTTATTTACTATGTACTATAAAAACATGGTGTCAAGTATCAGAGGGGTAGCTGTGTTAGTCTGAATCTGTAAAAAGCAACAGAGGGTCCTGTGGCACCTTTAAGACTAACAGAAGTCTGTTAGTCTTGAAGGTGCCACAGAACACTCTGTTGCTTTTTACAAAAACATGCAGCACCTACAGCTCCTTTCATCCAAGAAATTTAGAGCAGTAAAAAATACCATCTTCTCTGCCATGCTACAGTGTAATCTGGTACAGTAAGCAGTTTCACTTGTTTGTACGAGGGAGACACTGGCTTTTCTTTATACTGTATGCCATTCACTAAGATGAGTGCTAGTTTTGCATGAGAGTCAGACTGTTAGTCTAGTCATATCTGTAAGAGAGACTGTCGAACAACAACTAAGTGGAAACAAGGAAATAGAAACAAAAGGTAAGTGAAAGCAAAAAAAAAAGGCAGAACAAAAGCCAGAATGTTAAACATGCAAAAGAGACTACTGCTACATTACTGCAGCAGCTTCAAAGGTAAATAAATTCATACTTAGCAAAATGAGTTAACATTTCAATTACTTCAGATGGATCAATTTCCTAAAAGATTCATTCTAAATTCTGCCACAAACTGTGAGGGATTGTGAAATAGTCCCCTTCACAAACTTAAAGTGACAGGAGTGGAAGGAACCATTATGAACATCTAGTTAAAACAATTTGTGCCTTATTTCTAGTCTGAATTTGTCTAGCTTCAACTTCCAGCCATTGGAATTTGTTCTGCCTCCTTCATGCCTACACACAGACCTAGAGGAAGGATAATTCATGGGTAGACAAAGAATGGTCCAACAGTAAAGGTGCTGCCCCAAACTCAGGAGACCCAGGTTTAAATCCCTGCTCTACAACAGACTTCCCAGCTGACCTTGGGCAAATCACTTAAAATGTGTATGTGCATCTTTAGTCACCTAAGTATCTTAAAAAAATCTGGCCCTCAGTCTCGTTATCTCAGTTCTCCATCTGTAAAATGGGGTTAGCAGTACGTTTCTACCTACCAATACTTCCTAGTCATCCAAATTTAGAAAGTAGTCAAACAGGAACCCTTAGCATTCACACCACTTTGATGAATAGGGGCTGCACATCTTCAAAGGAAGGTGAGGATAACTTTTTTCCCCTTTCCAGACAGCATCACTACAGTCTTGCCTGAGTTCAGCTTGAGCCAGCCGTTCTTCATCCAAGAGCTGTAAGTTTTCTGACATTTTAGTAGTGGTGGTGATAGCAATAGTTTAGAATAAGATCCCTAAATTTCTATGAACTGATGTCTGAAAGGGACCTTAAGAGATCACTGTGACACGTGACATTACACTCCATATTTTTATAGTAATATTATTGTGATAGGAGTATGGAATAATTATGATGTATTTTGTGCAAGATAAGGAATCTGAGATCATGAAAAAGGTTACGATTTACTGAATGATTATCCTACTTGTATGCATGCATCATTTTGGTATCTGAAGTTAGAAATATTGTCTATATATCTATAACAAATGTGTTTACACCTGGGGAATGCCCACTAGGCAAAAGACTGTCAGTGTGGATGGCTGGCTGGCTGGAAAGGGCCCATTCAAGTCAATGGACTATTAGGGAGAACAATAGGTCTTAGAAGAAGCTAATCTCCCACCGTGGAGCCGTCCTCCGTGGAGCCTTCCTGAGGACGCTACAAAAAGCCTCTGAGTCATGGCTTCTATGATGCTACAGGGGCATGTGACCAGATCACCTGGTACTGGACTCCATCC